GCTGCGATATGAGCCTAAATCTCTCTGATCCTCACAAGCCTATCTTTTTTCCTGTGATATTACACTACTCCCTAAGCCCGTTCTACAATGAAATTTTCAGAAATAAATTCCACAGTAAAAATGATGGCAACTCTGAACTTTCCTCCCATAGTTTCTTCTACATCACTCCATCCACCCTCTGCTTTATTAAAAAAAGAAAGGCTGGGCTCGGTGGCTCAGCCTGTAATCCCGCACTTTGGGAGGCCGAAGTGAGTGAATTGCCTGAGCCTGCGGGTTTGAGACCCACCTGGGCAACTTGGTGAGACCTCATCTCTACAATAAATCAAAAAAATTAGCCAGGCGTGGTAGCGTGCGCCTGTAATTCCAGCTACTTGGAAGGCTGAGGTGGAATGATTGCTGGAGCCCAGCAGGCTGAGGCTGTGGTGGCCAGGAGCAGCCACTGCACTCCAGTCTGGGCAACTGAGTGAGACTCCAACTCAAAAAATAAAATAAAATAAAAAAAGAAAGAAAGAAATTAAAAGAAAGAAGGCCTTGGAATGTTTAAAATATTTAAATATCTAAAAGGATCTAAAGAGGTTTTTATTGCCTTTCAGTTTTCAAACACATCAGTTTTTTGTTATCAAGACCTTAAATCAAAAAAATTACTCAAAAGGCTAGTTTAAAACTGTATATAAATGAGTTCTTAAAAGTATTACTCCAAATGCCAGCTAAAATACTTGTTCCAGTAGGTCTTGTTGTTATAACAATAACAACAAGACCAAAAAAAAATCCTCAGCTTTGGACTGTTGGAGTCACTTCTGTCTATTAACTTTCTAAAGAAGCAGCTAACCATGTGTCATACTCTGTGGAGTAAGTACACAGCACCTTAAGCACTGAAGGAAAATGACAATACTCGTTGGTATCACATACTTTTTTTTTGGAATGGGACACACTCTGTCACCCAGGTTGGAATGACAGCTCACTGCAGCCTCGAACTCCTGGGCTCAAGCAGTCCTCTTGCTTCAGCCTCTTGAGTAGCTGAGAGTACAGGCATGTACCATCACACCCAGCTGGTTTTTTACTTGTAAGTACTTTGAAAGGCAAAGCAACAGGTAGATGAACGCTATCTTTCTGACAGGGCATCTGTAACCTTTTTGGGTTTTGCACTCTATGTACTCATGGTTTGTTTTAAAAATCTTAAACTCTCCTTTTTTTTGACTTAACAAAAAAAGGAGATAGTAGCAGCTCTTCAGTTCAAGAATTTAGTGATTAAGAGCATGATAGTCTAGTGGCTAAGGTTGTCTGGGATCCAATCTTGGCTCAACTCTTGTAAGTTCTGTGGTTTTGAGCAAGGTACTCTGCCTCACTTTCCTCATCTGAAAAATGCAGATAATAATTCCTAAGGTGACTGAGAAGATTAAATTGAGCTAATATTTGAGGAACTTAGAATATTAATGCAGGTGGTCATTGTTTTGCTAAATTCTGGTCTGGCCACATGGCTCTTGGAGCTATGGCCGCCTTGTTTCCTAAGCTTTGGCACCCTCCCCTGCCTTGGGGAATTGAATCTCCTCTCTCTCTCTAACTTACTTTAATTAAACTATACTTTCCAGTCTAACTTCTGTGCAATTCTTTGGATCTTTTGCATTGCACCAGATTGCAGAGGCCCCCGTCGGGTCTGACCTAACAGTGTACTATGATGAATCAATTATAACCTACCTGAATAGTAAAACATTTTTTTACAAGAAACTAACTCATATGTTATTGAGAACAATTTTTAAGAGTAGATATATAATGGGATTTGTATGGCTCTAAGTTAGAGGATTAGCCTGAGCTGCTCCAATTGTATAAGCCAATGTGTCAATTAAAAAGAAAAGATTCTCATGTTTTAGGATTAAAAAAAGAATATTCATGAAGGCAACACTTAATTTTTTTCTGCAAATTTTCATAACCGAGAAGACAATGGGATAAAATAGTTAACTTTAATTAATGTTGGTGAATGAAAAATTTTTTTTTTTTTTGAGTTGGAGTCTCACTCTGTCACCTTGACTGGAGTGCAGTGGCCGCTCCCGGCCACCGCAGCCTCGACCTGCTGGGCTCCGGCGATACTTCCGCCTCAGCCTTCCGAGTAGCCGGAATTACAGGCATGTGCTACCACACCCGGCTGAGTTTTTGATTTATTGTAGAGATGAGGTCTCTCTGCCCAGGCGGGTCTTGAACCCACGGGCTCAGGCAATCCATTCACCTCAGCCTCCCAAAGGCGCGGGATTACAGGCTGAGCCACCGAGCCCGGCATGAATGAAAATTTTTTAAAGAAGATGCCATATCATATAATTAGTGAAAATTATTACACAATTAGTGAAAATTATTATATATTTTACTGGAGACATCATGAAAGAAATTTTGGTGTAAGAATACTTAGAATTTCTGACAAAGGAATTGAGGAATTTACTACTGAGGGCATACAGTAGTAAACAGCAAATCTTTATCATGTAATATGCTTCATAAAATATAAAACAATGGGAAAAGCCCAATAAGCTGTTTGACCATAAAATCTATTCTAATTGGAAAATGGTATCCAAGATAATTTCTCAGGTAAACTGTAGTATGCTTCCCCTACTCTCAAATCATATATGGCTTCTGAACTTAGAATGGAAGACTTTCCATACTAAATGGAAAATTACTACACGTTATCCCAAAAGGAGATATTCAAGAATTTCTCCCACAGTGTTACCTCAACCTTTTGGCCTGCTGGGGACTACTTTATTTCCAAGTATGCTAGTTGGTCTTAGAATGATTTTTCCTTAAAATAAATTGATGGAGGAAAAAGACCAGAAACTATATGAGAAACTAGGTAGGGAAATGTATCAGTGACATCCACTACCGGTTTCTTTCTTTCTTTCATTTTATTTTATTTTAAAGAAGTGGGGTGCAATTCAGGATTAGGTATACAAATGGACATCATGCAGGTAAAGTTTGGGCCTCCCTTTGGTCCCCACTTTGCGTGGTTCGAGAGCAGGTACCCCTATTGATGTTGTGTACCTGCCCCCACCCTGGAAGTATCCTGCTACTGCCAATCCCTTTCTTGTAGTATTATGGTAATTGTTCAAAGTCCGCTTATGAGTAAGAACATGTGGTACTCTGTTCTTTGTTTCTATGATAGATCACTGAGTATGATAGACTCTAAATCCAACCAAGTTGCTGCGAAGTCCATATGTTTGTCCTCCTTTATGGCTCCATAATATTCCATGGTGTATATGCACCACATTTTTTTTTTTTTGAGTTGGAGTCTCACTGTCGCCCAGACTGGAGTGCAGTGGCCGCTCCCGGCCACCGTAGCCTCGACCTGCTGGGCTCCGGCGATCCTTCCGCCTCAGCCTTCCAAGTAGCTGGAACTACAGGTGCACGCTACCACACCCAGCTAATTGTTTTTTATTTATTGTAGAGATGGGGTGTCGCCTGCCCAGGTAGGTCTCGAACCCACGGGCTCAGGCAATCCACTCACCTCAGCCTCCCAAAGGCGCGGGATTACAGGCTGAGCCACTGAGCCCGGCTGTACCACATTTTTTTAATCCGGTCTAGTTTTGATGGGCGGTACAGTTGGCTCCATGTTTTTACTATTGTGAATAGTGCTGCAGTAAACATGTGTGTGCAAGTATCTTTTTTGTAGGATGATTTGAATTCCTTTGGGTATATTCCCAAGTTGGGGGATTGCTGGGTCACACAGAAGGTCAATTTCTAGTTTACTACTGGTTTCTAAACAGGGTCTGAGGAACAAGCAGTTCATACGATTCTCGCTTGTGCTCTGCACAAGGTGGTCTGTGCTACTCGCCTCTCTCCTGACTTTTGGGAGAAGAGCACTGAGAAATCCTTATTCTGCCTCAGGCTTTACTTTTCAGAAGGAAAGAAACTGTGTGACACTCAAGGGAGGGAGACAGATCAGAAGTCACCGAGCAATCAAAGAAGAGTGAAGATGATCAGAGAACTGAAGAAACCATGCACTGGCAGCACCTCTGAGGTAATTTAGCTCAATCCTCTTTGAGTGCGTGCAGCCTTCTGCACTGCGTCTGAGAGATGGCCCTCCAACCTCTCCCTAAATATTCCCAGTGACTAGATTTTTCTTCCTCGGGTCTGCTTGATCCAAGCCAGAAATCTGGGACACATCACAGATTCTTTATGCCATCCAACCTGTGTAAGTTACTTCTTAAATAGCTCTCCAATCTGTCCACTGTGCCCCCGCCCCCCGTTAATCTGAGTTGAGGCTTCCCTTTATGTGGTCCTGCAATAGTATCCAACTACTAGATTTCCTGCTACTAAATAATCCACCCTCACATGGCAGCCTGCAGAGTGGATGTTTTAAAACATAAACCTAATCGTGTTACTCTTCTGCTTAAAATCCTTTGATGGTTCACTATCACAAATAGCAAAAAGTCTAAGGTTTTAGACTGAAAGGCACAATACTGGCTAACTCTCCACTTCACATTTCAGCAACACTAAATACCTGTGGTACCCAAAAGTGCCAAGCTGTTGGTACCACTGTGGTTTTGCTCATATTGTTGCCTCTGATTGGAATACTATTTCTCCCCTCTGTCAACCAATTACATCAGTTCAGAAATTATATCCAGGAAGGTATCTTTTGACACCTTCTTCCCTGTATAATATTAAAAACATTCCATGTATATCTCCATCACTGTGTTTACCATATAATGCTAAAATCATTAACAAATTTATTTAAAAAAACCAAACAAATTTACCTCTTCCCCCCAGGTGAGTCCCTCAAGGTAGGGAGGGACCATATCAGTACCCTTAATACATGGCACAGAGCTCATAGTAGCAGGTATTTAATACATGCCTAATAAACACCAGAACTTTCTTCTGATGTGTGCTAAAGTTTGTAACTCCAATGACCCAAGTTTTGCTTCATGGAGCAATAAAAATCATTTTCCAGGAAAACAAAATATTTGGCTAGTCCATAAAAAGGCAAAGTTTAAATACTACACTATTCCCATGACATTCGCACTTACCTAAGTTGCTGTATGTTGCACTACAGGGGTTTAGGTCCTTGGGATCCGAAATGTCTCCTTTTTCCTCTTCTCTTTCCAGTTCAGGGAGGGGCGATGCTGGTGTGACTGAAGTGCTGCCCCTACCATCTTGCTTCACAATAACAGTTCTTAGATCCCGAGGAGAAAAGTCTTCTGTCACTTCATGGGTCACATGACTGAAACAAATCAGAACACTTGTCACACGGGCATTCAAAGGTTCTGCTAAAATGTAGCTTTATAAAAGGCATACACTTCCCGGACATGGAAATAACTGGTCCTATAGTCACAGCATTGGGTCATGAGCTCCAGGACACTTGTCTGAACAGTGCACCTAGGCTGGTACTTCTACTTACCTTGATTTCTGCATACTGAGAATCCAGTGTGGTAGAGAAGCTATGGGAAGCTGAGAGGGAGCTAGAGAATAATAGGCAAGGATCAGAACAATTTTTTTAGGTGGGAGGTGGTAACGGTGATGGTAGAGAGAACTGAATGTTTAAAAACAAAGATGCTCAAGTATCGAGTAAGGTATTTAGCATATTTACTATACTGTAGTACTCTAATACTATGGTAAATATAAAATACTACACAGTATTTAGTATATGTCATTAGTAGTCACTAAAGTATTTACTAAAGCATTTAGTAAAGGATTAGAAATAAAGTTGAGATTATTCTATCTAACAGGAAGTTAAGCAACTGTTTTGGTAGGTAAACTGAGGCCAGGAAGGTCTTGGTGCCAGAAGAACAGAAGCATTAACCTCTGCCTGGTGTGCAGCAGGGAAGCAAATGGGAAAGAACATTCTGCATTCTTGTGAACCTCATCTACTAGCAAGAATCTGAGCGTCCTGCTGGCCATGTGCCAGTGTGTAACCAACTGGGTTTTACTGCTACCTGCTCATTTGCTTACAGTTACCTCTTCCCGTCTTCCCCATTCCCCAACCTGCCTGAACTGTGCCAAATCAGCTGCTATAAAGTACAAGGACATGGCAGGGTCATTAGATGCTAGTGGAGAAAACTGGTCTAGTCAGAAAATCTCAGTGGGCTGGTCAGTAAAATAAGTTCAAAACAGGCATCTTGAAAGGTTTCTGGGTCTCCTGAAAGGTGTTCCTAGACTCTCACAGTCTCATTAGCCCTTCTTTCTGCTTTCTTTATGAAAGAAGGAAAGGAAACATCTTATATATTATTACACATTATTTCTGGATTTTCAAGTTGGCAGTGAGTCATGGTGACATTTACAAGTTTCTTTAAAAGAGTTCCTTTGTTTGATGGTGTGTCATCAGGACAGATATCACCTGTGGATGGAAGGGAGTTGATCTGAAGGAGAAGGAGTACCTTCTCGTCAATCTTTCATTATGGAAATTATGCTTGTGCCTGGACAGAAAAATAAGCCTTGATGTCTGCTGGATATACAACTTCAAAAAATGCTTTCAAAGCTGGCAGAGCCAGAGGTCTTGCCATACTGGTAGTGAGCAATGAGCTGGGAGTTCTGTGAGGGGCTCTGGCTCTTGGGGACAGTGGGGAGTGGGAAAGAATCACTCCTCAGGCCGGCAGGAGGGTCATCTACATGGGGAAGGCCACCCGCAATACAGCACACTGCCTCTTCTCGCTGGGCTGCCCTCCAACCCACCCAAAGTGGGTTTCTCATAACACAGAACCTTACAAAATCAAGGAAGCCAGGAGGCTCTATGTCTGTGCATCAGCAAAGACAAAGCAAAGTGACACTTCCAAGACACTATCGGGCACCACTTAGGGTCAAGACTGCGTATCACTGAGTGGTTATCAACACACCTGAGGAGAGAGAAAATGCTCTTTTCTGGACAAAAGTTAGTATAACCATTTCTAATTTAAATGTAATAACTATAAAGAGATTTAAAAACATCAAGGTCCCCACATTCCCTTGAGAGAAAGAAGTGTTAAGCCTCCAGACTTGTCTTGCTCTAAAGTTGGCTCTAGAGGTTTCCTCAAAAGCTGCTTTGCTTTGAATCCCTGAGAACTTACTCTTACCTTTTCCTTCCTTTCTCCAACCTCCTGACTATTACTAGAAGAAAGCTCTCCTTCCTATTTTTCAAAAAGGGTTGGTGACAGGCTCAGAGGCCATGAGGCCACGCCACTTGTCTGTTTTCATCCTAGGCAGTGGCTGTTTCCAACCAAGCTCAAGGACTGTGAAAACCCAGCAAGAGCTGCTGCTGTTACCCTGTGAGGAATTCCCTGGGCCTGTTATGTACACATAACACAGCTCTGTGCTCTGGAGGGTTTCACAAGACAAAACATGGATGCTAAAAGCCAAGAAATGTTGAAGACTCACCCACTGTACTCACTAACACAATTCCCCATTAAAGGGCAGTTTCACGAGGTCTTCTTGAGTCTATTAAGCATGCTTTGAGATGCTGATAGACTACAGATTCCACTGAGTTCTGGAGAGCTAGGAGCTGGGAAAACCATGAAGAGGCCTGAATTCTGTACCTTTGGTTACCCACTGCACCTTGACCTTTACCCTAGGGGTTTGGTCTGGGAAATGTGCCACATCACCTCTGGGGAGCTCCGCAAAGTGAAAGTTAGTTTTATTAACTCTTTGAGGACCAAGGCAGCAGAATCTATATTCCAGATAAAGATCAGTTTTTGTAAGCTCATTTTAAATAAGCATGCTGGTATATTAAATCATCAACTAAATATAATTGTCAACTAAATAGAACTACGCAAATAGAGTTGATAAAAGTAAAATCACAAGAATTTGCAAATGGATGTTAACAAGTTTAATGTGCATTTACAGTGACAGTCTCTAAAAGGAGTAAGAAAGTTCAAAATGCACCAATGATATGTCACATCTTAATGCCTGAGGGAAGAACAGCTCTTAGTATGATTAAAATGATAAAAGAGAGTGTAAAGGGAGAGGTTCTGTGAGTTTAAGCTTAGATATGGTAACATGCTATATCTCACAAATAAAAAGGAACTGGGAAAAGTATGTGAGAAAGTTGACCCGGTCAATATGTAGAAACAAGATAAACAGACACTCACTCAGGAAGAAAGAGGAAAAGAAAACTATGATTAATTTATCACTAGGCATTTTAATAACAGAATTTAATTTCTGATCATTGATCTGTTTCATATTTAGATATAAAATCATAAAACCCTCCAAAATACTCAAATGACACTTTAAATACGGGTTTTGTCTCCTAACAAAGTATTCCACCAGCAACATTTCATTGGGAAATGTTTAACATAATGGAAAAAACACTACAATGGAAATCAGAACCTGGGTTTGTTTCCCTATTACTCTGATCTTTTGAACAAACTTGATGATAGCAGCAAGGAGTTGATGGAGGAATCAAAAAACCGTCCCCATTTCATCTAGGAGACAGATAGTAAAATAATTCTTTAACATGAACATTATAAAACAGAACTGCTGAGTAATAAATGGACCACAAAGAGGAAGTTATGGCTTTTATATTTCTGCTATTTAAATTCATGTTGAAACAATCTCTAGTCCTGTAATATAATGCAGACAGTCTGTAATAGCCATGGTCTTGATCTTCAGGTTGGGTCAAATTCTGTCTTTGCCTACTGGTCCTGAACCCTCAGGACCTGAAGGGTCCTGAACCTTTTGCTTTCATAGACAAGACACATTTGACCATACTTTAAACTCTTCAACCAACTTTTCATTAATGACTAGTTTTTAATTGAGATTTGGTATGTCTGACCTGACACTTAAAAAAAAACCCGTCATAATCTTTGCATAGACAACTCATTTTCTGAATGTGTAGAATGAATATAAGGTGTTCACAGGAAATAGTAACATTGTTACAGATTTGTCTGTTACATAAATGAACCCCTTGGAAGGTCCTATCTCATCAGTCTGCAATATTCATACATAATTCAAAGCTGCAGAAGCAATCTCCTGTGGGAAGCTCACTTGGCTTACCCAGGTGGTAGGGATTAATCATTACACCATCAGATGAAATAATCCTTTCTTCTTTCTGGCAAATTCGTTCAAGACAGATTTTTGTAAAAATTCCGTTAAATGTCTGAATGTACTTTTTAAAAAGGCAAATCAAATTCTACATTAGAACAGATTAAAGGGTTTTATGAATCCAAGTATTTCCACAATTTCAGTTTAACTCTGTCTTCAAATTCACCACCCTTCATTCAGCCTCAGAAGGGACAGTAATGAAATAAAACTTGCATAGAGACTACCTGCTTCTTGGGGCAAATGGAATTTTGAATTCCCATTCGCCAGCTCTCTTCAGTGGGCACATCTGTCTCTAGTTGCCCAAGACAGTCAACAAACACATGAGTGATTTTTAAAACCTCTTTTTATCCCTAAAAATCAGACCAAAGCACATTAGAAACAAAATGCCATGATTTTGTTATTGGTTTCCAGAGCTGCATATTTCTGGGGTTGCTGGGGATGATGAGCCTTTACTGAAATGGGGTCCACATCAACACCTGAGGAGGAGAGTTCAAAGTTACCAAATCCCACACCTCTGTAATCTGTTGGAAAGGCACGGGGGTGGGGGGTGGGGAGGAATGGGGGGGTGCACTTTTTGTCCATTTATTTTTGTCTCTCTATCTCTAGGACCCCCTACCAATGTGACATTTCTTAATCCTATCTTAGTTTCCAGGTCATCAACTTGATTTTGCTACACTTTCCAATCACCGATATTCTCAGGTAGAAAAGCGTTATGTCCACTGATCACTATCTAGTGTCTCCAATTTTCCACTAAGCCTTCTGCAAATCTTTAACAGAAAACGTCAAACTTCTTATCCTGAACTAAGATTAACCTTTAACTGAGATTTGATGAGTTCTGCTAATATGCCAAACATCATCTGGTCAAACAAAGGCAGCACTCACTGGTATAAATGAAGTGGCTAGGTCTTGGGATGTGGAAGACGGGCAGCTATGTGCAAGGTCTTGAATAGACTCTAATTTTCTGCTTGTACCAATCCACCATTTTTAAAAAAACAGATGTGAATGGCAAATTAAAAGTGTCTTCAAGGAACCAGACTGCAAGACAGCAAAGCAGATAAAAACACAGGCCTCTGTAAATCATTGTCACCTTCATAATACTAAGAAAAATTGCAGTTAAAAATCCTATGAAATACAAAGTCAGGATGGCATATGTGCAAACGAAAAGATAAATTCATTTTAGAAAAAAGCAATAAAATAAAGTTGGATTCTCAA